GGCGGCGAGTTGCCGCCCGTGCATCTGGGGCGAAGTAGTCCGAGGCGGAGGGAGACGGGCGGCGCGCCGCCGCCAACCGCGCGCCGGCCCTTTCACCGCCCCGGGCTTTGTCCCGGCTTCGGCGGGCGGCCCGTTTCTCCTCAGAGCCGGCGGCGGAGGGATCCTCCCGGCGCGGCCCTGCAGGGGGCGGCAGCGCGGCTTCCCTCAGGCGGGGGCCGCGGGGACGGGCAGCACCGGCCGACGCCGGGGAGGCGAGGGGGGGAGCCGAGAGCCGTGCCAGCGGGCCGGCCCCGGCCCCAGAGCAGCAAAACCTGAAAGAAAAAAGGTTCTGGGTTGGGGAAAAAAAAAAAAAAAAAACCCAGCCCCGGGACGCCCCGCTTCTGCTCCCGACTCTGGTGCGGAAACGGCGTGCGCGGGCCCTCTAACGCAAGACCCGATTTTCTGCTTTTTTTAACCAAGCGAGGGCCAGGCAGCTCCCCCCCTCCCTTGCACAGAAGCAAAAATTCATTTTTTCCAAGGCCGCCGAGAGAGAGCACCGGGGCTTTGCTACAGCCGGGGCCCGGTCCCAGACAGAGGGACGGGGAGCAGCCTGCACCCTTGTCTTAAACCACGTTAATATAGCGACCTTCGAGCTTTACACTTCGTGGATCCCTACAAACTTATTGGAAATGTGGACCTGAATCTGGAAAAAAATAGGGTAGAACGTGCTCTGGACACCTTTAGGAGGCCCCTCAGAAGCCCCCTCCACCCATGAGAAAGGGAGAGCTGGCCTTTATTTTGGCTGTGCAATAGCAAGCGATGAAAGGATTTTCATTAAAATTTGCTCCCCTTGGAGCTGACTGCGTTATTTATGATAAGGCACTTTTCTATTAACTGTTGGATCAAAGTCTTTAATGATTACTAAATAGTGCCTTTGTTTTAGCATGGCTCTGTATGGCTTCATAGACCAGGTAATTAAAGTATTGTGGAGCACACACTGAATATATCCATATGATACAACAGAGTGAATTAGGGCCCTTCAAGGAGCATCCCAAGATTCTTTGTAGGAGCAACATGAAAAAATTTCATAAATTCAGTTGGTATACTGAAGAGCTTAGAAAAAACAAGTCTGCCCGCTTCTGAAAACCAGTAGAACAAGTTTGAAGAACCTTTGGAAGCAGTGAATTACAAATTTGCAAAGCAATTGGGAGTGGAGGAGAAACAGAAATAAGATTAGTAGTAAGACAAAGTTGTGTGGTGGTTTTGTTTTGTGTTTTTTTTTCTTTTTTTTTTAAGCTTTCTTACTTGGTTGGTTTTGTCTTAACCATGCACTTTAGGCAAATAGTCTTCTCTAGGTTTCCCCACCACCCAGCTGCACTGCCCTTCGGTTTTGAAACGTTGTGGAAACTCAAGACTTCCAAAACTGACACTAATACAAGTTCCAAGAGACTTTGAACAGTAAAAATATTTTCTTTTTTTCTTCTTTTAACAGTAAAGGAATAGGGATAGATAACATTTGAAGTGACAGAATTGCTGAGCTGGCTAGAAACAAAATAGAGGTTGACAGAGAGAAAGAAATTGTAAAAAAAACCCCACAAGAAATAATTGCAGATTCGACACCTCAATAGACAGATCTTAGGCACAAACATTAGACTGATAGATGATGCAGGAGGGGAAAAAAAAAAAAAAAAAAAAGAAGTTGGACAATGATGAGACCCAGGGGAAAGTGCAGCTTCTGCTTTTCTGATGGCCAAGACACAAATGAAAACCCAATTTACATAAAAAGGTGCTGTCAGATTTCACTACATCAGATACAAATATACTGCAGCAGGAGGAATTATAGCATGGTTTGCTAAAATCAGAGATATTTAAATATAATCACAATGGAGTACTAGATAATAATTGTAAAAATACCTTTCCGTGCTAATACATATATCCTACAACCAAACAGGTGACAATAATTTGATTTTAGCATGGGACAGAGGACACAAAATAACTACCCCCACAAAACTAACTTGTGGGTGCTGCATCTGAGCAAAGCTTCCCTTCAGGATATCACTTCCACAGCTGATGTGAGGAGTATTAAGTATTTGTGGGAATGACAAGGGGAAGAAGGAGAGGGGAAGGGAGGGGGTAATAGAAGTAGGAAAAAAAAAAAAAGCAGCAGGCCTACAACATAATTATACCCTTATCACTAGTAGGATTTTTAGTCTTTAGTTCCAAAGGCAAAATATTGCAAGATCCAAAGTACGACCTGGACACTTCTTTCCAAAAGGATGTATGTACAACCTAAAGATGAAGGTTGGTAGCGGCCTTGCATTGACCCCATTGAATTACTATTAGGAAGCAAAAGCATATAGACACTTTCAATGATAAATCCTTTCTAAAAAAAAAAACCCAAACAAACTAAAAAAGTTCAAAGGGTTAAAAAAATGAGATTGTCATGAAGGAAGAGGCATAGCCGCTTAGCTGGGATCTTTCATCTGTACACAGAAAACTAAGACCCTGAAGCCAACCTTCAAAAGCAAGGAAGGCATTTTGTTATCAAGTTTATTTGCATAGTACCTCCTGTATATAACATGACAGCTTAGATGACATCATCCTGGTGAATTATTATAGCTAAGAGTCAGATATTACTGATACAATTGTGCAGTGGTGTAGTTAATGAGACAGTATCGGGATAAGAACCAAACCTTATTCTGTGGTTTTGTATAACTTAGTTTGACATAGATAGCAAACCAACCATGATATAAGTGGATGCAACCTTGCAGGCTACAAGACTGACAGATAAGACCCAAGAGAGACACAAAGAAGAACCTTGCAGGCTACAAGGCTAGCAGATAAGACCTAAGAGAGACACATAGAAGATGAAACAGGTCAAAATTTCCTGTCTGAAAAAAACCCCACTCTTCTTCCATCTTCAGTGGTCTGAAGCTGTAGTAACTTTCCTGCTTAACTTGAGCCATGTTGCAGCACCGGGTTTTAAAGTATGAGAC